CAAGTTTTTAATCATTAATTACTACTACTTTATAGAGCCGATAATTTGTGAGCTTGGGCTGGATCTTGGTTGAGCTTAACCTATTTTTCTTTGTACAACGGGTCTAATATGGTAAACTCAAGCCCGTTTTTTATGGGCTTGAAAACTTACTCATACCCCTCTGTAAACGAGTTGGGCTTATCCACAGGCAAACGGATATAAAAATCTTGTCATGGTTTTATGAAAACAAAAACTTATATAAAATCACAAGTTATGTAAAATAATTCAAAATATATAACAGTTTTTCCAACTTAAAATTTGACGTAAATACATAACAATATACATACTTAGAAAGAAATTGTTTTGCTAAATATGAAATATCGATAAAATAAATGATTAAATGAGATAATAAGGAATTGATCAAATGAGGTAATTATATTTTCAAATTTAAGATTTTTAGAAAATGTTATTATCTTGGGTCATAATTAAGTAGAAATTGATAAATATTAAAAAAATTCAATTTTATTTATAAATGTTGATTATAAAAATATTAATGGGTTTCCAAACATTTTTTTTCCATTGCTCATGTCCGCCGCATTAAGTTTAACAAGTGAGTCTAGATCCATCAATTTCTTCGAGAATGGTAATCCAAATCCAAACCCAAACCAATAGATGCTTCAAAGTTCAAAGCGAGTCTTGTTGTCATTAAAGAAAGAAAAGAAGCAAGAATGTCTTACTGAGTTTGGATTCAACGGAAATAGAGTCGAGGTGTTACCAGTCTTGGGTTTGGTTTCAACTGTAAGTTTCTATGGTCTGTTGAACTTTTGGTTGTTGTAATAGGTTTACATCCTTGACCTTTGGTATTTTGCGGATTCTAAATCAGTTATATATGGCATCACAACATGCCCAGTTATACAAATGAGTCATAAAAGTTCAAATTTCTTTGCTTTTGGGTTTCCCTGTAAACAAGGTGAGATCGTTTAATAATAGATTACCTTTACCGCAACAAGGCTTTATGAATTCTCTAACTCACGGAAGTGGTTTTAGCTGTACCATTTTTCTCAGAAGCCGGTGCTAGAACAAGGTTCTCTTCCACCTTGCCCTGCCTCAAGACTCTTGAATTAGACGGAATAGATTGTCATAGTAACTTTATGGTGTTATGTGTTTGGGACTTGATTAATGGCTACTTGAATTAAGATGAAGGTTAGTAGAATGCATAGTTACGTTGTCCTCTGAAGGATATCATTTACTCCTACACGGAAGGAAAACAAGTGTATATATATATAGAACCTGGTTGTGTATATACACTGAAGGATATTTTAGTTATATATCATCGATATTCTTCTATAGCAATAGCATAAGGTTTGCAGCTTAGTAAAACAATATTGTTGTTTGCTTGATGGTTATTGAATGTTGGAAATCTTTAATTTCAAGGTTCTCAAATGGTTCGAATAGGCCGCTTGAGGTTGGCTACGGAAAACATAAACATAATTAATACAAGGACGTTTTTGAAAGCAATCACCAACTGTCAAAATGTAAAATTTAAATATTACATACAATAAAACTTTTCAAACCCTAATATGATTTTTATCTATTGGTGTTTGAAATTATAACTTTTATTTATTCAAAAAAAAAATATATATATATATATATATATATCCGGTTTACCATGTGTTCTCCGGCCATACCCTCACCCTCGCTGCTACAACCAACTACGACCACCCTTTTGTTTTTCGGACGTCGTTCAACTCCGGGCACCACCTCTCCTCTATATACCTATGTGTGTTGTCTTGCATGTGTATGTGTGAATTGTGATAGAGAGATATACATATGTGTGTGTGCAAGAGAGAGGTCGGAGTTGCAGGTCGTAGATGGAGAATAGAGTTGTATGTGTCGTCAGTGGGCCGGGAGGGAGATGAACGTCGGATGTGGGGGAGGCAGCGGGAGGGGTGTCGTCTCCTAACAGGGAGCGGCAAAGGTGGAAACAGGAGGAAGGATATCGGATCTATTTTGGAGATGGACGGCGGAGGGTGAAACGACGTCATTTGTGTGTCTATATATATTAAATAATATAACTTTTATTTTTTATTATGGAAAGACAAACAATAATAAAATCACATATTTTGTTAGAACAAGGGATGTGAAAATGTCAACCAGAATTACATATCTATATTTATTCTGATTTTAGGATAGAAAGTGTATACCTTGTTTGTATACATGTACAAGGACCAAATCTGTAATTTACTGTAAATAATAAATGAGTGCCTCAAAATTACAACAATGGTCCTGTAGCTTAAACATTCATTTTTATTCCCTGAAATTAAATTCTTGAAATTTCCTACTATACTCTGGACTTTATTAAATACCAAAAATACCCCAGAAGGTGTTCAAATGATTGTTTTCGACGATTTTCTTTACATAAATACAAAGAAGTCACTAGACTTTATAATTTGACATTTAGGTTATCATTTTGATGTTTTATGCCATATTTAATCACTAATAGACTTTAAAACTTATGTAATTCAATATTTTTGATATATATATATATATATATATATAATTTTGTCATATAAAAAATATTTAATCATACTGTCATTAAAATAGTTATATTGGGAAATATTTGAAAAAACGATTGACATACGGTTAATTCGAATAAATTGTAATGTTGAATATTTTGGGATTTACTTTCCAATAATCAAACTATACATTTAATCCGTATAATTTTGTCATTCAAAATATTTTATGGATTATATACAATAAAGATTTTATTTTTGTTATTATAGTCGTTCATGCTTCCATAAACGATATGATAAACGTTTGAAACATGTATTATGTTTAAAAACGTTCAGACATTTTTTGCATTTTGTGATATATGCAAAGTGTTGTTAACTTGCACATTACGAATAATGTCATGCGATTGTAGTAGGTTCGTAATATTACCTGAAGAGTAGACAAGAAGTCAGACAGAGGTCAACGAATGATTGTAAAAATAGGAAAGTGTACAAATGGTATTTGTAAATTATGATATTTGAATAGAAGTAGTAATAGAAGAATGTAATGATTTGGGATTACAAAAGTAAGAACGAAAATCAAATAATGAAGGTCCTGAAATAATAAATATTAAAGATATATTATTATAAACTTTAGAATTTAATATGGTTTCAAAAGATATGAATTGAAACAATATTTATGCATTCTAATTTTAAAAAAGGCCACATCAATGAAAAGGGATTGTTGGTGGATATACCAATTATCGAACCCGTCAAGGAATGACTTTTGAGACAATTAAAATAAATGAACCAACTAATGTTATATTTTGTTATATATTCAAACAATTATAATATACTTAAAAATGTATTTATATAGTTGTGTAGGTGCAAAGAATTGACGTCTCCATTAGATTGGACATACAATTAATTAGTTTGTACAACGTCAATTTTAAATTTTGAATTAAATAAACCTTATTTATACAATATTATAAAGCATTTGACAAAAAAAATTTAAAATTCTTTTTTATACATAAAGTATTGTTTATTGATGTATATTACTTAAAATTCAATATTACAATCAAATTATACGTAAATATAACTTATTAAAGTTTCATGTTTGAATTCGTATAACCAAATACAAATAAATATAATCAAATAGATGATAAACATATTATTTTAAATACAAAAGATCTAGAATATAATTAGGATAATTATTGAATTATAACAAAACACTTAATTATTATATTTATAAAAAATTACATTGTTAAAACAAAAATAAATAATTTTGTTATTAAACATGTCTATACTATATTATAAAATATTTGACAAAAACAAAATTAAAAACCATTTTTTATGGATGATGTACTGTTTATTAATGCATATTACTTAAAATTCAAGATTACAAGTAAATTGTGTATAAGTACAACATATTAAAACTTCATATTTGAATTTGTGTAATTAACTACATGTAAACATAATCAAATAAATAATAAACAACTCATTTTAAATATAAAAAAAATCTAAAATATAATAATGATAACTATTGAGTTGTAATCAAATGCCTAACTATAATCTTTATAAAAATTTATATTATCAAACCTAAGTTAAATTATAACAAAAAAATGAAATAAAGAAATTATACAAAAAAAAAATTAAATTAAATAGTTAGTTTGGTACTAATATCAATATATATTTTTCAAAATTTTATGATATTTTCATATTTATATTTTATTCAAAAATATAAATATTATTGCTTTCTTAAAATCACATAAAACCGTATTATAAAATCGACAAAAAAAAAACATTAAAATTAAGATGTAGTTCACTTAATTCCAAATATTCTTATAATAAAAAAAAAAAACTTAGTCATTCTATTCACACTTAACATGATATTTGTGGAAATGATATGATTTGTTTGAATTTCCCATGCCTTTCAAGTTCACATCATCACGACTCACTATCATTAACTTAATCATTGAATATAATAATTAATTATTAATCTTATCATTATATTTTTTTGGTTGGTTCAAAAAAATTGATTTATTATGCCTTCTTTATTCATAAATACTTTTTTTTTCTTTTTTAATAATGATCAAACCATATTAATTCGGACATCATTTAAACATGTAACAAGATTTTGTTGATACATCCGAGTGATTAAACGTTTCATAACAAAAATCCAGTAGAGACTTGTAGCTTAGAGGATTAGAGCACGTAAGGAATCCATCCAAGGAGAGCCTCGCATCTTCGAAACCCATTGGAAGGGGTAGTAACAACCAAAAAATTAAATAAATAGAATAACCAATTCACATAGAAATACGAAAGAGCGATTTTGTGATTTGTCTAAAATTAAAAAGTAGAAACAAGGCAATATTCATTTTGATCGAATCAATTCAAAATCAAAAGTAGCAAATAAATTATATAAAAATAGAATCGGATAAAATTATATAATAAATACATTTTGGTATCTTTTATTTTAGATCACATAGAGATGATATTATGTGAGATGAGATCTAACCATTTAATGTAAAAAAAAAAAAAAAAAGATGCGATTTGAAAGTGGTGCGGAGGATTCGGGAAGAAAGCTGCTGACAAGGTTGTTGTTATCGACCCACCCACAACACAAAGTATTTACGCAAGCCGTCACCAAGTCTCTGTTGCTTGTAAAGGATAGATTCATCACTAATACCTATTCCTAGATCCTAATCTATCAACTTTAGCTAATCCTAGAAGAGAAAAACAAAACCACACAGGTAGTTTCGATTTCCAAATCAAGCCATGGAGTCTTGGATTTTTCCTGCAATTCTTCGATTACGAGCGTCTGCCAATTCCTTTTTGTCACAATTCGAACCTCTGGCGATCGTTCTTGCCCCTCTCCTATCTTTCCTCGTCGCACGATTTCTTCAAACCTATATTCAAGCAGTTCAAGACAAGGGATTTAAAGCTACGCTGATTGGTTTCTTTATGACATGGCTCAAGTAAATCTACGTTTCCAGAATTAGATTCTTTAACTTCCATTTGTAGTTTCTTTTTTGTGACTGTATGCTGATCTTCAACATATTTACAGGTTGGTGCCTGGTGTGAAGAAATATATTGATGCCGAGAAACACAAGGTACTGTACTTATCATGTCATCATATAAACAACTGCAATATTTTGAGGTTAGTCTAAAACTTCAATTTGGCATTTGGGGGAGTTGAACAGTAGATTTAGTAAAGTTACTCTGTTGAGTGATTTCTCCGTCATACTTTAGAATAGTTGATTCATATGCACATCAAAAAGTCTAATGTTTTAGACAAAGAGAAGAATTTTGAACTTGTCTTTTAATAAAACCCATGATTTTCCAAAAAGTTAGAACCCTCTTTTGGCAAGTAGTAGGTCTGACATAAGAAAGTTAAAGAATATATCTTTTTTGGAGCATGAAATGCATATCTTTTTAAGACAGTGTTCCAGGCTTAGACAACAATGCTTGTGGCCCCTAAGTTGGTGTCACAATTTGCCCGGATAGTGCAACCTTTCATGTTAAATTCATAAAGAACTAGTGTCTACTCTGACCCTCTTATTTCAAATCCAAGATGGATAAAGTGATCTTTAACAGTACTATATTAAGACATACTGGTTCAGCAATATGAACTTGTTAATCTTCTTTGCTTTGTTATCAAAAGGGGGAATGGCTTATGTTAGAAAGTGAACCTGTTGTTGTATTACACAGGTTGTTGACAAATTACAATCTTCCAGTAAATCTAAAAGGGATGGTTGGAGAAGTGACCTGCCAAGGACAGGATTAGGAGCTGGGGTTTTAGAGCAAATGAAAGAAGAGAAACAAAAGGATGCAGCTTGGCAAGGCAAATGTTCTGGTACAGTGTATGTTCTACAAATTTATTTTCTGGGTTTTATTCGCTAAAAGTCTATGTCTATCTCTATAATCCACATTGATTGGCTATCCTATCCTATGCTATTATATTTGATGCAGATATATTGGAGGAAATGAATCTGAAGGTCACTTTTCATTGATAAATGAGGCATGTTCAATGTTAGTAAGTTTCATGCTTTTCAATTCTATCTTGTACGTCATACGATACCTTACTTGTGTAAAAGTTACATTTTAGGTTTGCACATACCAACCCACTACACCTAGATGTATTCCAGAGTGTTGTGCGATTTGAGGTAGAAGTTGTTTCCATGACGGCTGCTCTCTTTGGAAGTAAAGAAAAGACATCTGGAGGACAAATATGCGGCAACATGACCTCAGGAGGAACAGAGAGTATATTGTTAGCTGTGAAATCATCACGTGACTACATGAAAGCGAAGAAGAACATCACATGTCCAGAAATGTGGGTTTGATCTTTTTGTCCTATATTTTATCTTGTAAGGTGTTTTGGGCCTGTAACTCTAAGCGTTATTCTCTTTCGTTTGAGAATGTAGGATAATCCCTGAATCTGCACACTCGGCGTATGATAAGGCTGCTCAATATTTCAAAATCAAGTTGTGGCGTGTTCCTGTGAATAAGGAATTTCAAGCAGATGTAAAAGCTATCAAGAAATATATCAATAAAAACACCATAATGGTATGTAGTTACCCTCCTGGCCTATGATCGATTCTCATTCTTCCTTCTCTCATCATGTGTTTTTAATTGCTCAAACTTAAATTGCAAATCAGATTGTTGGATCTGCACCTGGTTTTCCACATGGAATCATTGACCCAATCGAGGTAATGAGCCTGACCTAGCAAAGTTTTTCAAGTCTTCATTTTTCAAATGGTTATACTTGGTTGATTGCAAACATATCATAGCGCTTTGTTATCATTAATACATTTTATAGAACACCTCATATATTGACTCAAACCAAACAAGTGATCATTGCATACTAACCAAAACAAAGCCTACATTTCAACTATTTGTCCAAGATCGCTCATACTATAATGTCTTTTTGGCATTTTTGCAAGAACGACCATGGCAAGTCTTTGTGAAATAACTCACCAATGTTTGTGTTACTCAAGCCAACATTCTCGCTTCCAACCATCATGTAAGCCCATACAGAGGATATGGGATTAGGTACCCCCAGTAGTCCTAGCCGTAAACGATGGATACTAGGCGCCAAAGTTTTCCCATTATTTTCATATCTGTAATAGTGCAAAAACGAAAAGGACCCAGAAATGATACATCGTTTTTAACGAAAAGACAATTATTATGGTCCAAAAAAGTTGATCCCTCAAAGTTTTCTGCAAGTTATGGGACTGCTCATGATTTTGGCCTTCTCTCTTGCAGGAGCTGGGTGAATTGGCATTCAGTTATGGGATCTGTCTGCATGTAGACCTTTGTCTTGGTGGTTTTGTGCTACCTTTTGCACGTAAACTCGGGTACAATTGGCTTTCCTTTCCTTTCATGACTACTGTTGCTTGCAGGCTCGAAGTTGTATTTGTATGCCACTACGCACCATCCCAAATCTAATAAATTGAATTATCGTCATTATAATTGCAGGTACCCGGTTCCACCATTTGATTTTTCTGTCCAAGGAGTAACCTCTATATCAGCGGATGTGCATAAGTATGGGTTGGCGCCCAAAGGGACAAGTATAGTTTTATATAGAAACCATGATATTCGGAAGGTAACGAGTCTACTATTTGTGGTTTCTTTGTTTATTATTCAAAACCAACATTCGTTCGTTGGTTTGTTTCATTTCAAATTTCCAATCCCATGTAAAAGTAAACTTGAAAATAAGTTTGCTTTAACTTGCCAAAATAACAACAGTTTAACATGTTTAAAAACTTCTGATAACATAGATGATATTTGCTATAGGATGCTCCATATATATGTGTGTGTGTGTGTGTCGAGTTTACACCACATAAGTAGATGGTCACAAGGAATCTGAAAATATACAACCATGGTGAGATTATAAGGTCCCATCCAAATGAACAGCTATGCAAGTATATGTGGTGCTTGAATACGAATAAGTATGCTTATTATCTTTCCTTTATTTTCTGACTGTGGCATATTTGCTGGTGGCTGACCGTCTGGAAATTGGCAACTTTTGTATCCTTCTGTATTAAACAGCATCAATTTGTTGCTGGTAAGTTTCTTTCTTCAGAAGCATGTTATCTTTTGAAAATGAGTGCATCACATGGTACACCAAAGTAATCAGATATTGACACAAATTTTGATTGGTCGTACCATAATGTATGAATACTTGAGGTCTTAAAGTACTTTTTTCTGTCAATTTTACAGTTACAGAGTGGTCTGGTGGTCTGTATGTGTCTCCGACAATTGCTGGTAGCCGACCTGGAAGTTTGATTGCAGGGGCTTGGGCAGCCATGCTTTCATTAGGGCAAGAAGGTAGCATAATTGAACCTTGAGCTTATAATTTCTGCCACATTTTGTTATAGCAAAACGATCATTGTTTTTTTGGTTTTTTGAAGGTTACCTGGAGCATACAAGAGAGATTATGGAAGCATCAAAGAGGCTACAAAAAGGGTATTTTGTGAAGTCCTAATTTGCTCTCTTTTAACCAAAATCACCCGTGCTTTTGTATATTAAATCTTATCTTTTTTACTCCATCCATCCATGAAAATTGCAACATGTTTCTTTTTGGCAAACTTTTAACGTAGAATTACCTATTTACTCATTGTCAATACTACATACACCTTATTAGGGCTATTATTATCTTATGTTTTGCTGTGTGATTATTGGAGGATATATAAGATACTTGGGATGAGATATGCACTTGATTGTTGCAATGTTGTGCAGAGTAAAAGAGATCCCAGAGTTGTTTATCATCGGAAGGCCAGATATGACGATTGTGGCTTTTGGTTCTAATGTGATTGACATATTTGAAGTGAATGACATTCTGTCCTCTAAAGGCTGGCATTTAAATCCGTTGCAGAGACCCAACAGGTAAACTATTGACATGCTTGTGAGATATATATGGATCCTTAAATTTTGTATACATACATACATACATATATATATATATATATATATGCTTATTTTTTGTTGCCTGAAATGGTAATTTGGAAATGACATGTTGAAACCATTTTTTCAGCATTCATATATGTGTGACCCTTCAACATGTAGCTATTGTTGACAATTTCCTGAAAGATATAAAGGATTCTGTGAAAACTGTAAGTTACTCCTAGAAAATTGTCCATTTGCTTTTGCTCGTACTTAGCAACAAAGTGTTGTTGGTTTTGATTGTTTAGGTGAAAGAAAGGCCTGGGCCAGTAAGCGGAGGACTTGCACCGATATATGGTGCAGCTGGGAAGATCCCAGATAGAGGAATGGTGAACGAATTACTGGTAGACTTCATGGATAATGCTTGTTGATGATGCGATTATATTTGTTGTGTGACATCATTCTTTGTCAAAGAAAACTGTGTTAAGATCAATGTGTAAAATTGTTTGAAATAGAATCATCTTTATCTGATGGTGAATGCATGTTTTGCCTGTGGGAAGATGAAGAATACCCAAACTCATTTTCAGTAAATTTAATTGGTTGATCAAGTATTGTACTATAAACATTCTAATATCCTAGTCCTAGGTATTTTTATTTTTATTTTTATTTCTATTTTTTTATTTGGTGTGCTGGGTGGTTTATATCAAAGACATGATGATTAACATTAGAGGGCATGTCTTAATCTATTAAAAAGAAAAATATTATATTCTTAATTTTAAATTATATAAATAATTGCAAAAATGTGACGTGATAATTTTAAAAGACAAGACTTGGGCTTGGAGGGTTTAAAAGCCCAAATAATTTAGTGACCCGACCCGACTCAACCAAGACTACATCAACATGAGCTGTAAGAATTTATTCTCGTAGATTTTGCTTTTTGAATCCATCTTCAATCCTCAACTGCCTCACACGAATGAGAGATGAACACGAAAACAGAGTTTTTCTTTTCCAAATCCACCTGTACCTGTCGAATCCTTCCTTCAGTAATGCCATTGTTTGACGAATTAGCGGTATCAGGTCTCTCTCTCTCTCAAAGCTCTGTTGATGTGCACAAGTTTTTGCTAAAATATAACATATCGTGTATGATTTTGATCTTATATCGACGATGTACCCCAAGTTGGTTGCTAATCATGTGTTAATAAGTGTGGATATCTTCTTGAGGCAACTCCTGTGTGCGATTTAAATTCTTATGTATTAGACTGGTCAGATGATCCTTTCTATCCAATTTCTCTAGTCAAGAATACTACAGATTGCTTGATTATGAACTTCTATGATTTGTTACACTTTTATCTGACTCTTACTTTTCTACGCTCTTAACCTGGTTTCCATATTTCTGACGTCAAGATGATTTTCATACTACACAATCCTAAATAGTTCATACATTATACATCTACGTGAGGCTGTGTCTTCAGGTATTTAGGCACCAATCACCATATTTAATTACGATTGTATATTCATATTCATATTTGTTTTGTTGTAGCTGTTGGCGGATCCAGGATTTTGGTCTAGTGGGGGCACCTTTAAGGTAGCTTAAACGCCCAYAAAGTCGTCCGATGTGTTTTTAGCCTTATTCCACCATTCCAAGAGATTTTTGAAGTTTTTTGGATTATTTCGAGGGATTTTTAAGGGTTTTTTTTTATCAATTTTGAGAAACTTTTCAGTTTTGTTGTTGATTTCAAGATACTTTCTTTAGTTGGTGGGGGCCTAACAAGAAATTACGGAGGAAAACCATGGTAGAAAGTAAAAAAAAAAACAACTTTTACCCTTAGAAAATTCATTTTTTTTAATTTTTTAATGGGGGCCTTTCCCCCCACCTTTTACAAGGTAGATCCGCCCCAGTATATCTTAATCTCACTCTTATTACTATTTGATCATAGTTGACTTCATATCAGTCATTCCGAATTTCCGATTGTACAGCACTACACTAATTTGTCGGATGTGATTACTGTTTGGTACACTCTGCATTTATTCATGGCACCCAAGGGTTCCTTAAATACACGTACAATGAAAACGGAAATGAACTTAAAAGATAACAAACTCCTACTCTATAGGAAAGACTAGACTAATTCAAAATAAACAATCTGTTCCTGCAAATCAGGAACTTTATTCACGTGACACTGACTAACAAATCCCAACATGCCTTCTCCTAAACTAAAGAGTCCCATCTTTAGTTTACCTCAGTTGCTTCCACCATTCCCAGCATCTCTCGCAGCTTTTCAAATTGCGTAACCTTCAATGGTTTTGTCATAATATCTGCCACTTGAACCGAAGTGTTACAGTCTTCATCTCAATTGTTCCATCATTCACCAAATCACGAAGGAAGTAGTACCTTACATCTATGTGTTTGCTTCGATTGTGCAAGATAGAATTTTTTGAAAGTTTAATAGTTGACATATTATCACACTTTATAATGATACCTCCTTCTTGTGTGAGATCAATATACTCAAACACCCTCCTTAGCCATAGAACTTGACACGCACATGCTGTGGCAGCTACGAATTCTGCCTCGGTAGTAGAAAGAGTCACAATTGGTTGTCGTTTGGATGACCACGCGATTGCAGCCCCGCTCAAAAAACAAACGTACCCTGAAGTGCTTCTCCGATTATCATGATTGCCTGCATAATCACTATCGGAATATGCCACTAGCTGATCACTACCTCCCTTTCTGTAAAAAATCCCAAACTCTTTAGTTCCCTGGATGTAGCGAAGCAACTTCTTCATTGCTGCCAAATGTTGTTCAGTAGGTGTCTCCATGTATCGACATAATTGACCAGCAACGAACATTATATCTGGCCTTGTTGCTGCCAGATACATAATACAACCCACCATCTGTTTGTACATTGCTGCATCTACATATCCACTCCCATTGTCTTTCAAGAGTTTACAACCAGGAACCATTGGAGTCTTCACATGGTTGCAATCTTCCATATTGAATCTTTCAAGTATTTCCCGAGCATATTTTCGCTGGTTGAGATGAATTCCATCTGCACTTTGTATAACTTCCACACCCAAGAAAAAACGCATCTCTCCCATATCTGACATCTGAAATTCGGATTTCATTGATGCTTTGAACTTCTCAACTAGTTCAAGAGTGCTCCCTGTAATAATTAAATCATCTACATAGATTGAAATAATTAGAAAAACATTTTTCTTAGTTGATTTAACGAATAGAGTTGGCTCATAAGGACACTTCTCGAAGCCTTCTTTGAGAAAATAGCTTTCAATTCGTCCGTACCAGGCCCTCGGTGCCTGCTTCAAGCCATATAGAGCCTTCTTTAATCGATAAACTTTTCCCTCACTGCCCTGCACTACATAGCCTTGAGGCTGTTCTACAAAAACAGTCTCTTCCAATTTGCCATATAAAAAAGCACTCTTAACATCTAATTGATGAACTTTCATACCTCGTTGTGCTGCAAGTGCGAGTATGCTTCTAATAGTATCCCACCTAGCTACGGGGGCAAAAACATCAGTGTAATCCAGGCCATATTGTTGAGCATAGCCCTTCACCACGAGTCGAGCCTTATGTTTATCGATCTTCCCGTCTTTGTCCAACTTTGTCTTGAACACCCATTTCACACCGATTGCTGTTGCACCAGGGGGTAAGTCGCATAGTTCCCAGGTGTTATTTCTTTCAATAGACTCGATCTCTTGATTCATAGCCCGTTTCCAACATTCTTCTTGTGCAGCCTCATGATAACTTGTTGGTTCTGATAAAGATGAGAACATAGCAACATGTTCCTCATGCTCCTCTTCATGCTCCTCTTCACTTTGAATATCACCACTGACATAATCTCGCATCCAAGTTGGTGCTCTTGTTTCCCTCCGTCTCCTTTCGTTGCCATCATTTGTAACCGGATCAGTATTTGATGGCCCACTTTCATCCTCGTTCAGCAGCCCATCAGTGTTATTTGGCCCATCTAATTCACTTGATGGGTCAATTACAACAGACGATGGATTTGGCTCATTTCCATTATTCTCCTGCTCATCTTTAGTTTCCCATTCAAGGTCTGCATGATTAATAGCAGATTCTTGTGCCCAGTTCCAGGAGACATCTTCTTCAAAAACAACATCTTTACTTACAACAATTTTGTTGTTGACGGGATCGTAGAGTCTATAGGCTTTGGACTCTTCACTAACCCCAAATAATACACACCTTAAGCTTCGATCATCCAGCTTCAGTCTTTTCTCTTTAGGAACATGAACATGGGCAACACAACCAAAGATTCTGAAGTAGCTTACAGATGGCTTTCGACCGCTCCATTTTTCCTCCGGTGTACAATTTTCAAGAGCTGCAGTTGGACTTCGATTAAGCACATGGACACACCAGTTAGTAGCTTCGGGCCAGTAAATCTTTGGAACCTTCCTGGCACTCATTATACTTCGTACCATATTCATCAGAGTTCGGTTCTTTCTCTCTGCTACACCATTTTGGTGTGGCGTGTAAGCTGCGGTGAGTTGTCTTTGTATTCCATTATTTTCACAAAACACCTTGAACTCATTGGAATTAAATTCACCTCCCCTGTCTGTTCTCAAGCATTTGATCTCCACACCTGCTTCTTTCTCAACCAATGCTTTAAACTTCTTAAAAGTATCCAAAGCTTGTGACTTTCTTATCAAAAAATAGCTCCAACACTTTCGTGAGAAATCATCTATAAAGTTAATTATGTACCTCTTTAGGCTGCTCGATTGAGGCGTGATAGGTCCACAAATATCTGAATGGACAAGCTGAAGCTGTTGAGTTGCTCTCCACGAGCTTGTTTTAGGAAACGAATCTTTAGTTTGTTTTCCTATTAAGCAATCTGGACAAGTCCCAACTTCAGCGTGGATGGTTGGCAGCCCCCTCACCAGGTCTTTATCGTGCAGCAACTTCAAACTCTTGTTGTTGATGTGGCCAAACCTTTGATGCCAAAGAAGAGTTGTGAAATCAGTTTCCACTTTGTGACACTCATCGATGTCATTTGGTTTAGCCTTAATCATAAACATCCTATTTGAAGACATCTGAATTCTTGTGATCAGCCCCTTTCTTGGATGAAACATACTACAAACGCCTTTTTTAATTAGGATCTCCACCCCTCTTTCTTGAATTTGCCCGACACTAATCAAGTTGTTCATGAGATCGGGAACATAATACACATCAGCCAGTGTGTGAGACACACCTTCGATGTTGAGACGAACATTTCCCTTTCCCATGACAGCCATACGAACATCATTTCCGAGCCGCACATTGTTACGGTAAGAATCATCCAAAAAAATAAACCACCTTTTCTCACCTGTCATGTGATTAGAACATCCCGAATCAACAAACCAAGTCCACTGTTTTGACGATCCACCTTTGACCGCTTGAGCCATTAACACCATCTCCTCCGTATCATCATGCTCCACATAGTTAGCATCCTTCTCCCAATCTGGACACTCATTTTGGAAGTGCCCAAGTTTATGGCACTTATAACATTCGATGGTACGTTTATCAAATGAAAGTCTGCCACGTCCTCTACCACCACGACCACCACGTCCTCTCCCTCTTCCTCGAGAGGGTGAACCGGTTGATATCTTCAAAGCCTGTTCGTCATCTTGTTGCCCGATCATACGTTGTTCATGAACAAGTAGGCTTCCATGGAGTTCATCAATTGTCATCGTATCGAGGTTATTGGATTCCTCAATAGAACAAACAACATAGTTGAATTTCGGGCTTAAAGAACGTAACACCTTAGCAACAACAGCTCCTGAAGTCAGTTGATTGCCATTTGCCTTCATCTTATTCACAATTGTGAGGGTCCGGGCCAAATATGTATCGACCTTTTCACCGTCTTTCATGGAGAGTAGTTCATACTCCCTTCTCAAAGCCTGCAACTGAGCCCTTTTCACCTTCGTTGACCCCTCATACTTCTGTCTCATCGAATCCCAGATTCCCTTTGAAGACCTCTTATCCAAAATTGTCTCCAAGATCTCCCTGTCTATAGCTTGGAACAGGAAATTCTTCACTTTCAGGTCTTTCAACTTGGCTTCATCCAACGCCTTCTTCTGTGCTTCACTTGGATTAGGCACTGTCTGTGCAGGAACTCCTTCTTCCACCAAACTCCACATTTCCTTACTCCTTAGGAAATTCTCCATTAACAGGGCCCAATGATCGAAGTGACCATCAAACCTTGGAATGGCTGGTTGAACAAACTTATCAGAGTTCTGCATCTCTCTCTCACCCCTTGATAGAAAAGAGCTCTTCTAACCTAGCTCTGATACCAAATGTTTGGTATCACACACACACAATAATATGGAATATACTCACAATTATGGTGTTCAATACACTTTGCATTTATTCATGGCACCCAAGGGTTCCTTAAATACACGTACAATGAAAACGGAAATGAACTTAAAAGATAACAAACTCCTACTCTATAGGAAAGACTAGACTAATTCAAAATAAACAATCTGTTCCTGCAAATCAGGAACTTTATTCACGTGACACTGACTAACAAATCCCAACAATTACAGATTTTTCAAGTTATCTGTATGCATATATACATATATTCTTTTGTAGCGTGTAGACGGCAAGTGTTCATCTTAATTTCCTTCCTCAACTTAGAAATAGATAATCATCTACCAAGTTTCATAATGTATCAACATGTGGTGATGGATTGTTGCCTACATTTTTTCAAGGGCATTCTACGGCTTTCACTCACTGTTTTCTGATATGCTACCTTGAATAGAGATCAATTGGTCAGTGGCTCTAACAATCTATTTTGAGAACTAACTATGTGTATTTATGTCATCTGTGCTTAAATAACTTGGCCAGTTTGATCAGCCAACACACGAAATATCTTATCTACTGTATTTATAGGTCAGTAAATGAAGTTACTGATCTTCAAAGTATGGTCAAGTTTGATTAATTTAATTTGATTTATTATAGATATTGTAGGGTGGCAAAAAGGAAAATGTAATTTGTGAAAATTAATGCAAGTTTGACGAGGAAAAGCACAAGTTTTCACTCTTCTTGATTTTCATTTAAACTATTTCTCAACATGTTATGGTCCTTGATATATCTCAATATATCTACTTCATGATCTGACTGTAAAAGTTCTCATTTAAACTATTTTTCAACATGTTATGGTCCTTGATATATCCAAGGCTGTGATCCACCTTTCGTTCTTTTGGTTGGAAGTTCAACTGTCATAGCCGGACTCCTAGACGTGTGAGACGCATGCTATAAAACTTGTTGAATAGCAACAAAGAAGCACAAGAAATGATGAAAATGGGAATTTGACAATGTCACAAGTATGTGATGTATAGAGTATATCATTCTAAACCATATCCAGCATAGCACAAATATATTGATGTGCATTGCATCTCATACATTTCCTCCAAGGTTCTTTGAATTTTTTCAAAGAATATAGTTCTAGCTGGAAGGAAAAGGACTTCATTAAATTCAAGTAAGACATTACTCGAAATGCAAGTATATTAATCATTACTACAGAAATGTCACAAGGCATACAGGTTAAGTTTTATGCATGACTCATGCATTGGGTAACAAGGTGCCTCTTTATTCTCTTCAACTTCACAAGCTTCCGACACAATACTTAAAAATATTCATCATTACTTACCAATAGGAGAAATCATACAATCACAGTTGCATAACATACTTCTTCCAGCCCAATTCCACCAAGCTCTACATTGCACTCCACTTCTTCTTCTACAGTTCCAGCACCAGGTCTTCACAGGAAACAGTAATTATGAGTCAGGTAAAGATAACATAGGAGTTTTTAAAGTTACACATCAACATGAAAATAGTTTCTATGATAATTAATGAAGGCCTTATTGAGGGCATCTTATTGCTTTAAATTTTATATGCTGTATTGATAACCTATGTACGAGGCCTTAGCTTTTTATGGAAATAAGTGTTTATTGCCTTTAGAGTGTAATTCTGAAGTGAGGATATTATGTTGTGCTTGAGTAAGGTCTCAACACCCTAATCGCCCCAAATGAATGAATGCATATGAAGAAAGGATCATTGCATGTACATAGTTTAATGGGCCTTGAAATACATGGAAAACCTTGAAAAAGTAGCAGTTATGGTGGTGGTCTTAAATCTTGATCTGACATTTTATTTAATGATTTTGCTTGTATTTTTTATTTCTTTATCTATTAACTAAGATGTGTATCAAGTAATTACTCTTTTGTTACAAAAACAAATGAACTGGCATAGATAGAGCAAGGAGGTTATGGAAATTTATAATTGACAAATAAGATATTCAAAATAATTACAATTATTTTTCTCATTATCCATGTTTGTGTCATTGTTCTGCAAACCTAGTCTTTTAATTTTATACTCAACTTTCACGATCTGTATCTATTAATTTTGGACACTGACATGAAATGCCTAGAGAATAGTGGCAGTCAGTACATAAGTTGGCAACTTGCCTTTAAAATTAAGAATTTATTTCTCAACATTGAACAGTTAAGAATCAATTGAATGGACATATCCATCCCATCCTTGGGAATGTGGTTGAGGTTATAATATCTTATGGTCTTTCTGACAATGACTTCACATATAAGAAGCTATAATGTTGCATAGTTAGAGTGTAATAGAGATAATGGCAACAATAAATAACAATTAATGGCAACAATAAATAACAATAATCAAAATATAATCAAAATAGAAATTAATTAATTGTCTTGCATTAGATAAAATAGATGGCGGAAGTTTGTATACTTACAATCTGCATCTGATTTGATCCAGCATTCTCTGCTCCCATCTGATTCACTCATACAATATGCAGAGTGGGGAATGTTGCTCTTAGTGCAGTTTGCACTTCTTTTAGAAGCATCCACAAGAGGAAATACTGTGATATCTTCAGACAACATTTGGTTTCTATATTTATATTCCGCATTGGTGAAGTTGCCCACTGTAACATGTTTCGAGTGATTTTCAGACTTGGGTGCAACAACCAGACCTTCAGGGTGAACTTTCCTGTGGAACATTTGTAGGATCTGTATTTGCCACATTAGATGTTAGGATACTCAACTGAAAAGTTAATCCTTTTTAAACTAAACTAGTAGAATGTCAAAGCTAAAGTACACATTCATTAGCCAGCATAATGGATTGAATATCTATAAAAAGCTGGGCCACATTAGGTTTGCAGGATCGCAGTCATGACTTGTTCAGTTAAAGTTATTCCTACTTAGTATCATTGGGCGATTCAGACATGCAGTGGCATAAGTCATACACAAAAATCAAGTGCTTGTACCTTGCGTGGTTTTTTGTCAGCTGAAGCAGAATCAAGGGTTCCTCCAGACGATGCTGTGGAGCGCCAAGAGGAAGAATAAAGTTTTCTTCCTTTCAGTATCTTTTTCATCAGATGGACAGCAGATTTGTCAGTTTCTTTCTGTTTTTGCTTTTCTCCTATGTTACTTTTAGGTCCAGTAACTTCTTCCACCATTTTAGTTCTCTGAAACAACTCTCCAAGTGATGTTCTATGTTCCTTCTTTGCCGTAGCTGTTTCTGGCAATCCAATTACTGAACCAAAGAGATAGCCCTGGAGTGGACAAACGGCTGCTCCATTTTCGTTGTTTTCTAAAGGTCTGCCACCAAGTGTAATCGTACCTCCAGGACTGCTTCTTCCAACATTAACACAGCTGTTTCTCCCAGAAGAGTCATTAGAGCGATCTTCCTTTCCTTCAGGTCCTAGCACCTTCTCTAACTCATCATTGATGAGCTTCAGTTCATTCTCTGTTGCTTCAGTTTCTTTCCCCATGATGTTCTCAACAGCGGTGGCAAATGTTGGTGTTGCTGGTTCAGTTGTGATTGTTTCCGTAGCTAGAGTCCCTATTGCCAGGAATCCATGGAAGAGTTCAGAAACAGCAGCACCCGATTCTTCTTCCATACGCTCATCATCTGCTCTTGCAGTCTCCATGCATGCAAATGATTTACGAAACTGGTTATCTATGTGTGTGTTGCTTGGAGCCTTGGCATGATAGTGCGATTTAGGATAGTATTGTAGGTCGTCTAGTGATGGTTTCCCCATAAGACATGCACAAGAGTTCCCTGCTCAGCAGTTATAGAGCATCATCCCTTGAATCAAGGAATACATAATAGATCGAAAAGGTAGACAGAGAATCGGAGATACACGACTTACTTGGAGCAAATTCTGTTAGGTGTTCATTGTTTGTCTGCCGGAACTTGTGCTGCATCCAATCTGGTAACTGCAATGAAGATAGTCAATCATGTATCACTGAAAGGGCAACATTATGTTCTGGATTTGTATAGATTTAAAATTTTACCTTCATTTTCGGTCCTCTTTTAGAGAGCTCACTGCTTAATCAATTTTTGTGATATGGAGAAAGAAGATAAAAGGTTCTTATTCTATTGTGATGCTTGATATACTACCCATGAAGAATAGTTTAAAGTTCCAATTTTATGGCAGGTGGACAAGATTACAAGAACATAGAGAAAATAACAAACCTTTGGCTGGATACATGTGTAAAGATCAAATAATTTGGCCAATTGGTCAACAGTCCCTGGACAAACAAGTTGATATTTGTATGTTTGTTTGCCATGTGCTAGGATAGCCTTAGGGTAATAATTTACTTGCATGATTCATAATTCTCGGCCTTAAAACACAGCATGTACTTGGTTTCACTATATGTTCACACGATGTGCGGTGTGTCTTAAAATACATGCATTGTTAAGCTGTTCCTAGGTTATATGTAGTTGACTGGCTTTTGTACCCAGACATGTTTTTTTCCCACTTTTGCTTTCTTATCTGTAAGTAATATGATACCTTATGGCTCAGATAGTAAAGTCTTAGATTAGTGATGCAATGCTTGTAATCGTGTCGTGATTTTGGGAATTCTGTTTTACCACTCTAGTTGGTCAATTACATAATAAGAGGGAAGGAAAATTTGCACTTGTCATGCTCCCTAATATATATCATATAAAAGGATGCTTGTCTTTTCTTGTACTTTTACCCCGGGTGATAGAAATGATGCTTTCAGGAGACAGTCAGCGTTCCTGTTTTGACCTAGAACTCATCATTTTACATTTTTCTATATCAAACAGTTTCTCGAATTGTTATATTAGCTGCAGCGATGCTATAGCTATACAACCTAACGGATCATGCTGATTAAGAACATAGTTGGCTCATTTTTATCAACTGTTTGGTCTCTTTAGTGACGACATTTACTTGTTGCCAAGTGAAGGAAAAATAATGCAATAGCGTTATTTGCTCTACAATGATATGCACCTCCCTTAACATTGTAGCAAGATATAGTGCTTAATGGTGAGTTATGAAAGTAGGTCCATAACTAGTGCCATCTTTCCTGCTACAAGCAAGAAATTTAATCATGAATGTTACATAAATTATCCAATCAAATTCATGCTAGTTTGGATTTATTAGCTTGATAGGATGGTTAATAATTAAGCAACTTCATCCTTATTTTTCGCTGTACAAATTCATGCTAGTTTGGGTTCGTTTAGTGTTGAGCAGTTTGGTCACTATCCTTATATCTGATGTTACACTTTTAGGGTCTTAAAATATTGAAGAGGCCCTTGATGGCCTTGATTCATCGAGTGTCCTTTAGGAAGTGATCAGAAAAGTAGTATATCAATATTAGACATCTGCATGAGGGAAGGTATCTCAACAAGTGACTGGTACATTGGTATGTTCCTCTTGTCTGTCTATTCCTGGGTTGGGCCTGAGTGGGCAGTTGTGGTTCATCCATTATTAGTGGCAAAGCCAAAAGCCTGATGGGGAACCTTGTTCCTACATGAATATCTGGCTGAGAATGCGATAAAGCAAATGAAACATAAAGGTATGATAAAACCATTATAATATAAGATCTCAATCATAAGTTCCCCACAGGTGGTCCCCTGCATATTATGTGCTCCTTGCTAACAATGAATGGAATAGAGCAACTGTTACTATGCTTGTAGAATATGGAAGGACCCCTGCATATTATGTGCTTCTTGATAACAATGAGTGGAATGGAGCAACTGTTACTATGCTTGTAGAATATGGAAGATACATTCACATGTAGGTAATGCCATTTGGACTCGAGTTTCTCCATTGCATTCTTTGTTTTTGAGGGCAAAGCTATATGATTTCAAACTCAAAACCAATATGGGTTACTTTGCCAAACTTAATGCCCATACCTTCTTGTATGTGGCAAAGGTGACAAAGTGGACGGGCCAAAACAGTTTTCGGCGAAAGATCGTATGAGAAGAAGAGTTAGAGGTGAGAAACGTAAGAAGGGATTTGTACCCTTGATCACCTTTAATCACAACCCCAACCCATGAATGTTTGATACGGGAATTGAACCTGGACATCTCATCCTAATGTGTATCCAACAGTGAAGATTTCTTCTTACGCTTCACATCTTAACTCTCATTTTTACTGGACCCCTACCGTTTGGTTGGATTGATCCATAAATATTTTCTCTTTTTTTTTTATAGAGATAATGAATATGTTAAATATTGTTACAAAATATATTAGAATAACATCATATTTTTTCTAATAGATCGTTTTAGAGGTTTTATGCATTTATATGCACTTTAGGTGACTTTGGATCCATTTGATTTGTTCAATTCATTTCTGGTTTAGTTAATTTGAATTGTTGAGGATAATATATAACTCAAATAACACTTTTACCTATAAGCTTCTCAAAATTGACACAATTATTTTGGAAGAGTTCTAATCACATTTGAAGTTCAAAATTAGTTTGCTTAATCTCAAGAGTCCGGTTATCACATTGTTCACAATGGAGAGTGTCATTTGTATGCAAGTTTTTTTGGAGATTTAAGGTTGTTGGTGGTGTTGTACAAGATTTGGAGATATCTAAACATTTTACATGCTAGGTTTCTATCTCATTTCTAGAAAAAAATTGGAATGTCATCTGATTTTGAATTCATTAGATCTGTAAAAGGAAAAAAAAATCTAAAATCTTGAGCAAGTATATTTCTAAGCTATGTGGGGTCTTGAAAGTGAAAGAAGTTGACTTGTGATGCTTTGAGCAAGACATGTTTTTGTTTGCGTTATCATCTAAATTATTTCATGACTTCTGTTATGTTATGGCCATAAAATAAGTGCTATATTTGTTGCTTTGTCTATGGAATATATGTATAACATTTACCCACCATTATGGCCTTCGTCGGCTAGTAAATGATTGTTTGCGACTACAGTATTAAGCGTCATGGGCCAGGACTAAACATTCTGGTTTTTTATGAAGGAAAGCATGACTCGGCTCCTAAATACGTATCAGGTTGATCGACACTTCTTTTTACCTAATAAAAAACATAATTTTAGTTGGCAATAAAGAATACCCTCTCATTTCATCCAACTAATAGATATTATAAATAAGGTAGAAGTTGAGTGATTGTATTTGCTCTTTTTCACTTTGCATAGAAATACAATGGATGACTTATGGAACTTCAACTTAGAAGGCGTTGGTTTCTTTTCTCATTAAGTTTGTATATCTAATTAAATATCAGTCGTTACTTGTTTTCTGTAAATAAGCGGTTTGAATGATATAAATTACTATTTTTATCCCTAATTCTAAAAACACAAGTTTGGTTTGAGCTTTAGCATACTTAATAAGAAAATGAATCAAGAATAAGTTTCTAGAGAATGAAAAGATGCTTTAACCAAATTGAATCCCTTGGTCTTGATTTGATTATAGCATCTTGGTTTCAAAAGTGGTTTTTGTACATATGCATTCGATTCTTAAATGAGATAAACTTCATAAGAAGATGAGTATCGAACCAAGTTCTCACAATATGAAATATCAAATTTCATAGAATCGAGAAAGAAAATTAAATGATAAAGAAGCTGTAAAATTGTGAACTCAGACAATATAATTGGCAGCAAGCTCAAATTTGTGTTGGATTACAAGTTTCTATTATACTTTCACAAATATATAGACACCAACAAATAGATATAAGAAACAATTATAGAACACATCAACTTAATCCTACAAAATCTAAATTTCTCTTACGGATCAAATCCATAAAAACTATGGCTCTATTAATGATTCTCTAGATATTGTGACAGAAAACTCTACAGTTGTGAGGGAGCAACATCTGAGGGATGATAAGAGGTAGTAGTAGATTGAGAGACGAGATGAGAAAAAGGAGTAGAGTGGTGACGAGAGAGCAATAGATCGAGAGGGGATATGAGAGAAAGTAGTAGATCGAGACTCGAGAGTGGAGATAAGAGGAAGTAGTAGAGGGGTGACGAGAGAAAGCAATAGATCGAGAAGGGTGACGAGAGAAAGGAGGAGGGCATTTGTGGAAATTGTTGGGTGGATACAAGGATGATCGCATACAACCCCCTTTTTTTCTAGCTAAAAAGTTAAGCCGGAACAAATTAAGAATTGGATATGATCGGCCGAATAAGTATTTCATATCATTAAACTCTAAATATTGTTTGGTAGGTCAATTGTTTTGCATATTTATCAATTAATTGATGTTTGCTTATTACTATGATGTTCCTTTCTAAAACTCAAGGATTTTTGGCGTTAACAAATACATCAATATTGCATTATATTTTTAGAAAAAATTGTGCATGTTTCATAAGCAAGATGCATGGATATCATTCTTTGAGTGATCCGGCAACCCATGTGTCAACAAAAAAAGTTGAATCTTTTGGTACTTCAAACTTGCATCTCATTTTTGCACTTATGTATGTTTGGATTCAACTCTCTTTGTGTTCCAAGATATCAATAACCTTATTAAATTCCAAATATTGTCCTAGCGTTATATCACTATTTTTTAGATGCTATTAAGTATGAACTTCTGCAAGAATTATGTATTTACAAAAAAAATTAAAATTTATTTGAATTATATAAGACATACGTTTTTATATTTATCCAATGGACTAATTTAGTTTAAGTGGTTAAATACCATCATTACCAAGAAAAAAAAACATCAATACTATACTTGTCTTATAAAAATAATATTGTAGGTGTATAATACTAAGGTTGTGTTTAGTTAGAGATATTAATCAATAATCAATAGGAATGATAATAATAATAAAAAAAACTGTTTGGTTTTATATAATATAATGAATACATTCTCTCAGAATCTCAAATTTTCATTTCAAATTGAACTGGGGGAATAAAAAGTCATTTCCATTTTAATTCTATGTCATTTTCATTCTCCAATAAGTTCATTAGCTCGAACTTAAAACTATCTAGAAACCGAGTCTAACATTTCAAGAAGAGAGTAAGCCACTCCTAATTAACTTTATGGTACTTGGAAGAAACCGTGAAGTAGCATACATGATATGCAACAAGTGATTGTTCTTTAAAACTTGTGTAGCTGTGTTTGACCGACAAACATTAAATATTTACAAGGCATTAGGTATTGGTTCAACTCTAATTTGATTCACATGTGGGATGTGTTATAGATTCTTGTGTGGTCTTACATGTTTTTTAGAAATATCTAAAGGTTGTTTGATTAATGTACATTTGAATGTTTTGAAGATTAATTTGGTAAGAGAATGTTAAATATTGCAATTTATTAAAAGAGATGATATAGTACTTTTATTTTGTTTTAAGAAAAAGTGATAATAATATTAATTTTTATGGATGGTTTATTTACTCCAGTATATGGATATTCGATATTGACATGATCATCATCTATTTCATTTATTTAATGTTTGGATATAGTTTTCATTTACATGTGACATCTGTCTGGAACTAAAAATATAGATTCTTATTTCTTTTCCCAAGTCCACTAGAGTAAGTACGGGCAAGGGGCAAGGGGCATGGGGCATGCTGCATAGATATTTTACACAAATGTAATGTGGCATTTAATAAAGGACTTGATTATGGGTGTCCTGAATTAAAAATAGTATGCTTAATGTTATTATTCTTTGAAAATATACATAGATTCTTCTTTTAATAATCCATAAATTAAATATGCCCCTGTTAGCTTTATGACTTTGCCTTCCTTCTCTGAAATATGAGTGTTTCAGTTATTCGTTGGATTGGATCTGACGTAAATTGAAGAGTTAAGTGATAGGCTTACATCAATTGGGTTTAAGGTTCACATGTCACATTTTGTTGGGCCCTTTTCCCAAATATCATCACCAACTCAACCTCAACCTCAACCTCTATAATCTATATGCTTAGCTTAGTTGCCGATTCAAAATACAAACAAAACAAATACATAATCTTGTATTTTATTTAGTAAAAAATTTATGGGATTTCACCGGCGACCTAATAGAGACAGACACAGACAGGAGCTATGTAGAATACAAGCATCGAGATTTTAAAATGATACATTCGGACTCCAAAGACTCCACAAACGCCAGTGGAACAACCCTATCACGTCCGGCAGTACCTTCCTAGCCAACCCTTTGTGCTGGCTGGCCGCCACAAGTACCGCTGCCTCAGGTGGCTGGGCATCGGCCTTCTCCTCCGCAGCAATATTCAAAACCCCATCTTCTTCAGCTTTCTCTTCCACCACTTGAAGCCTTTCCGGTGGAGGACTGTAAATTCTCTCTCTCTTCTTGGCTTTCTTCCTAGACTGTTCACCGTGGGTCAAGGTCTCTTCAAAAGCCTCAATGGCTTGGTGAATGAGCTCACGGTTAGGAGAAGAATCCCATTTGAACCAATAGCTGGTATAACAATCAAAGCAATCGCAATAAAAAAGTGGAGGAGGGTTGTGGTTATTTGATGGTTTCTTCTTATCAACTGAAGGATGAGTAGAATTGATGGACCTAGTTATCATGTAGGCCAACACTTGACGGTCTTGGAGAGATAGGAGAAGGGCCAAACCAAGAATAGTCGCCGGTAGAAGCTTTAAGACGGACAGAGAATCTGTGTCTAGATCTTCGGCCGGAAATGGAGTGCAGGAGGAGGAGGAGGATGGGTATACTTTACCTTTGTTTCTCATCTTCATACCGTGTTTTCTTGCTCTTCTTTTGTGGAGAGAGAGAGAGAGAGAGAGAGAGAGAGATTATGTTTTACTACATATGAAAAACTTAAAAAGAACAAATATTGGGAGTGGGAGCAAAGAAATTATGGAAGTGGGAGTGGGGACACTTGAAAACTTTAGGGTGTTTGCCGTTCAGACATGGGTCTATTTAAGTTGGGCTCCAAATTTAACTTGGATATCTTTCAAGCCTTCACTGTTGTGCTTCTTTTCTTTTCTAAATTTTAGTTATACATTATACTTAAAAGCTTCGGATTCGAGATCGTTTAACTCGATCATTAATTCTAAGTTGATTGTTTTATTATTTTAAATTTTGAACACATGAATCTGTTTTTCTCAAAAAATGTGTGTTCCAATGAAATGGCTTGACTGGAAGATCTTAATCGAGTTTTCGAACAAATTGAGTCGAACATTTATATTATGAAACTCAACTTGTTAAGTGAATTCTATTTTATGTTCGAGATCTATTCAAACTTGTAAATTATTAATCTCGGTTTTAAATAGCTTGTTAAAAACGCCCCTAGTTGGAGGCATTAGGGATGGGGAAATGGAAATAGCAACTTTTTAGCATAGGAAGAAAATTGGAATGGATATAATTAATGGTGTTTCGTGTTATATAATAGAATCACTTATTAAGTTGTTCAAAATTTGTGTCTTTTACATATTACTGATATTATATTAATAAATTAAATTTATATTAATTTTTAAGTGTTAGGTTATATTTGACAAACAATAAGTTAATCTTTCTTCTTCTTCTTCTTTTTTTTTTTTTGAAAAAATCCCTTTTAACTTTGAGCTGGTTTGCCAATCATACCTTTAATAAAACTCATTTTTTATATATTCAACTTATTTTAAAAGCTAATTACTTTTACGATAACATATCACTAACATATATATTATAATGGGAATATAATTATGAATAATATAACTTATTAAAGTTAGAAAACAAATGATTTGGTGTAAAATTAGAGTTTTTTTAGATAACCGTGGGTTTTTGGGTCAATTTATGCATACCCAAGAATCTCTTGGACAAGCATAAATGACTTAAAGTTATTGTAGGTGAACCTCCATAGCTATAAGGATTTTGATAGTACCTAGAATAGAACATGAAGTGGATGAGATATTTTACTATAGTTTTTCTAGGCTTTACCATTACGTAACAACTCAATCTTGACAAATGAGTTTTGGTAGAACTCACTCTTAAAAATTTACCCTAAAGGTGGAGAATGCCCAAGCCGCATATAATCATGCAAGCGATGGTCAAAACAAACAAAGGAATGCAATTCCTAAATTGATTGTCTACAAAATTACATGATAAATGGGTTAGGGTGGAACTACGCACTCCGAAAAGCCATGGGTAAGTTCTACTTGTACTTAATTGTCGTCTCCTTAACACCATTTATTTTGGACATCAATGGTGTTAAGTTTTGGTGTTACCATTGAAGATGTTCTCGTAACACCAAAAATGATAAGAAATATGCTCGTTGAAAGGTAAAGAATGATAAAGAAATATATGTTGGTTAAGTGTTGCAACTTTGCTTTTAAGTCTTAATTCATGAAATATCTCGAATAAATATCAAATTTGTGTGTCGATAACTTGTTTAAAAATGTTATATATATCATATCTTTAATTTGAATTGAAGAAAGAAAGAAAAGTAATAGAAAATAGGTAATGGGGCATGTTATTGTTAATTGAAGTTGTTTCCTGATCGATCCGTGAATATACATGGCATGACATATAAACAAATTACATAAAAGCTACCTAAATAATTGAAGTGGATGCTAGGGTAATTAATTAATCGAACTTCTTATCTTTGGGTTGTTCACTTTGACGTTTGTCTTCGGCCAACTTTGCCTGTGTCTCGTTTCTCTCCTTGAAATATTGCTCAAATGCTTTTGGCAGAAAACGTGGAATCAAGAATGCAAAGATATTGATTGAAAAATATATAAGATTCGTCACTGCTAGGCTTATCCCAAACCAATACCATGCAATATCCTGCATCATATATATATATATATATATTGATCAGCATTATTAGATAACTAATTATTACTACCATTTTCATTATATATGTATGTATATGTATGTATACCTCGATGGGAGCATTTGTATTGAGGGACTTGTTGAGCAACACATCTTGTATCCAATCCAATATAACGAATAGTCTTCTAACCGTATACAACATTGGTACTAAGGCCCTGATGGGAGCTGAAAACAATGACAATCCGCTTATAACATTCTCGGTTAGTATTTGAAAAGAAAGCAAGAACAACTGGGGTGTGGCGGACCGAACTGCTTTCTCATCCCCCCTTGCATACCCTCCCAACACATAAGCTAAGGGCAAAAATAGCCCAATTACCGTCCCCATAATAGCGTAGACACGTAGCATTCCACTTGATCCTTGTACTATTTCCTTACAGGTTGTGGCACCAGGAAACGCTAGTCGTGATAGAATTAGAAGATAGGCAGTGGTGAAAGCCGGGAAAAGGAGATCAAAGAGTGGGACCAGACCAATGGCTGAGAAAACCATAACAAAAGCTACCAACTGGAGTTCGATCCAGCGTAGAGATCCCATCATACCACCACTTGTCACCTCTTTTTGGTGTTGGGCAGTGGCAGTGGCAGTGGCAGGGACGGTGGATGTTTTGTCTGAGTCAGAGCCATGAGTATGAGCCACCGCAAGTGATACACCTGACATTTTCAGAAGCAGATGGTAAATTTTGGAGTGAAAGAATAATAAGCCAAGATGGTACGAGGTGATCCAGGATCTTAAGAGAGAAATATGGATCTATTTTTCTTTAGTGGGGTATGTTTACCCACATGGTACCACTACCATTTTAACATGTGTCGTCATATCCTTCATTCAAAAAACTGAGTTAATTGGTAGGTCTCATGTTGAAAGCCCCATCATCATTAATTAACCCATGAATCATGTCAACAAAATAATATATGTAAATCTCATAACTAATAAAGTTTAATAATACCGCATATTGGTTGATTCTATTTTATATAATGCGTAAAAACATCCACAACCTGTGTTTTTAAGAGAAAAATGATTAAAAAACCTAAAAATGTTGAGGTTTTTGGTCAAAGGTCCACAATTACATTATTTGGTTTAATCGGTTTCAACTTTATAGAGTTATAAAAGTTTTGCATTTTTATTTGTTGATATAATATAATTGATAAATAAATACATAATTAAAGTAGATATGTTTTTTTGTATAAAAAATAAATTTTTAAAAGAATTTGTAATTGAAATGATCTGTAATTAGAGAAGCATGTATGTATATATATGTTACAACATGCAACAATCAAATTCGTTAAATTAAATTACTTCTTTTTTGAGATGTCTCTTTAATTAGCTACTCTTTTAATTAATCCTAAAACGTCATATTTATTCCAGGTGGTGGTTCTGGAATCATAAATGATCTTCCCCATTTTCAATTGAATCAAATATATAATATAGGCTTCTAACAACAAATTTTCTTTTGAGGAGCTGCAGAGAAACAAGTGAGAGACTAGACGTACGTGTGATAATTAGAAGGTAAGTGTTGTAGCCGGATTATTATGACGTTTGACACTTGGCCCATTTTGATTGGGAAGTACCACATGTTGCAATCATATAACGTCTCAATATGCCCCCTTTCGCCATGCATAAACTAAACCAACAATAAAAGCAAAATTTGTGTATGGAGCTTTATGGGGAGTTAGTAAAACATTTTGGGTGCAACCGGACATAAATAGAACAAAATAAAAATTATTGTTTCATGTTTGGTGGAACTTTTACATGGAACATACAAGAATATAGTGGAACATGTGTTTTCCACCCACACCCTATGGAACAAGATGACAAACATATATTTTACTATATCATCTCAAAGTAAAACTTAATTAATATATCGATCGAACAAGTCTTCTTTTTTACATTTTATTCGTTCTTTAAATTTTATATTCTTTAAATGTTTACTTTATTATTCTTAAAATATTATTTTTATACGTGTTTTATATTTTGATTAATTTATTGAACATTAATTAATAATAAAAAGATAATATAGAAAAGGTATAAAATAAAATTATGAAAATATAAACACAATATATCAACATCAACATCAAATAAAGAAGAGCAATTAAGCATTTCTATGGATCGACACAAATTAATATGGCCAAATGCCCTTTAAACTAAACCTGCAAAACAATTTTAGGTGAGTGTGTGTTCATGGTGGGCCTCAAATCAAAAGTTATGAGTTTCTAACAAAAGCAACATTAATTTGATTTGAACTAAAAAATGTAGGTTAAGGGTTCCTATATTTCTTTATTCTAATTTGCATACAAATTACTTTCTTTATAAAGGCACCAAAACTTTGGTTGAAACATTTCATCAAACACTTAGCTGCCGTTTACCAAGTCATTTTATTTTACTGGATGAATATGGCAGGGGCTAATAATCGTACCCGTCCGGTAAGAGCGAATGCAAGAATCGAGAGTCTTACCCGGTAAGTGAGGACGAGGACTCTTACCATGGTTAGTGCTTACCAGGATAAATTGTTGCATACGATGCGTTTTAGTGAATAAAATCTTGTCCGGTAAGTAAGCGATAATGTTGATTTTTACCGGTAAGTGTTTATCGGGTAAGTGGGAACAAAACAAATACAAATTGAAGATGTAAAGAAAAAACATGTAACTAATTACCAAGGATAACCAAAAAATGAGTTGGGATGTAAAAGCAAAACAAAGAAAATAAAAGTATTATACAAAAAAAATATAAATATATTTGATAAACATAAATAGCAACTAATCATGTTATTTCATATTCATATTTATTTATATTCATATTCATATTCATATTCATATTCATATGCATATGCAAGGTGTTGTATCTGCTTTGCATTCATTTGGTGATGATGTTGGTTATTGGGACAGATCATGTAGAAAAAAAAAAAAGAACAACATACCTTTTCATCCCTCATCACAACCAACATTCCCGTCAACACACCTACAAAATAATAAACGTATTTATATATATATTAAAAAAACTTAGCATCCAATTAAATGGAAGCAAAGTCTAACAAAAAATGGAAACAATGTTGCTTACACCACTCTTACATGCACTAAGCTCGTGCACTGTTAAAAAAAAAAAAAAAAACTCTTGATACAACTCCTCAAGCATCGCACAAATTGCACAAGTTGTAATGTTCACTATGCTATTACACTGATCAAAGTATGTTGCTATAATAAAGAAAAATGAAAGTATAATATGTCATAATAAAAACAACTTAAAAGCATATATATATATATATATATATATATATATATATA